AACCAGAAACACAGAGATGTTACAGCAGTAGTTAAATTAATGGATTGGCTTATCTTGAAGTGTTATGTGGTAAATTTTCAATAGCATTGATGTTGCCTATTCTGTCCATCAGCCTGGACTATTTCTGTGGTTTTCTAGAATTTTCAGTGAGGCAATTGACTGCCAGAGCCAGCAAGCTCTACTCAAGAATCTAATTTTTTATCCTTCCTCCTCTGTAACTCAAGATTGGATCACCATCACATCCTACAAGTGGCAGTGATTATCGAAGAAATGATGTGTGTATTTCTCTCTTCCTGCAAAAAACGAACCTGATGGGAGCCCTTAGACTGGATAAATTCTGCATGATGACTGTCTTAACCAATTCTTACTGAGGGTTAGGGATTTGGGGAAGGTAAATGCTTCATCATTAGAAATGACACTTTGGGGGCACCTGGCTGGCTCAGTTAGAAAAGCATGCGACTCTTGATCTCAGGGTTCTGAGTTTGAGCCCTACGTTGGATGTAGAGATTACTTAAAAATAAAATCTTAAAAAAATAAAAAGAAATGAAACCTTGAAAGTCACCTAGCATCATGTTACCTTTCTGAGACTCAATCTTCGGGGGCCCACCTGAGAGTCAGAAAATAGAGAATCCAAGTTAGGAGTCACGGTCAGGCACATCCTATACAATCTGGGGCGACTGATGGAGGGACAAATAACCCTGCCCAACTGGTCAAGGCCTCAAGCCTTTGGTAAGTAACTTCTGGTTCTCCTAGCGTGGACTCTGAATGAGTGAATGACTTTAAATATGGACATGGTTAAGATAAAGAAAAACTTTTGCTGCTTAAAGAACTTGCCTTCAACTCTGGAAAACTTAGCTATCCAGCAATTATTCATTTCCTGACCATTCTGGTAACCCAGGTTTTATTCTATTGAGCTTTCGGAAAAAAAACTTTTGTTTCACCAGCAGAGAAAAGTCTGGACCACATGAACTAGTCTCACCTGGCATGACATTTCTCCTGTGCCTTCAACAATTTCACAGCATATTGATTCTTCATTTCTTTCTCAGACATCAGTTAATTAGCTAACCTGGGTTTTGATTCACACGTATTAAACACCATCTTTTTTGAGCACACAAAACCCCTCTTATGTGACATAAATGGCATTATGTCCAAAAGAATAGTGTTAGATTGTCTTTTACCCTGGAAGAAAAGGAGGTAATTAGTTTGATATATATTTTTTCACTGGCGAATGTTAATGCCATTTTCACTGCAGAAGGAAAGGTGAATGGCTGTGCCCAGTCACTGCTCCTGGTTTTTGTGGCTCTGACATTATATGAAAGGAGTTTGGGGGAAATGGAATGGAATAGAAGGGCCTCAGTTGAATATGTGGATAAGTAGTGTTCTTAATACTTCAACAAAATCTAAGAGAGTTTGCAATTCATATAGCTTCTCTGAAAGGCTGCCAAGAGGGATATTTTCAATAGATTGGTGGAATGAGGAATTAAATGTAGATTATTCTGGAAAAGATTGGAATTTAATATAACATTTGAACAGGTTAAATTTATATCAATAAAATACCAGATGGAGAATGGGACTGTTTAATTTCCAGCACACAGAAGACACATAACGGTTCTAGAAAGGATGAACGCAGCGTCGGCTGCTGTCTGAGGCTTCCGTGTTCCTTTTCAAAAGCAGCCTGGGAAATTTCTGCCATTCTTTGAAATTCAAGGCACTGGCAAAACTGCGGTCAGATGTGATGGATTACGCAGCCAATTTGCTTGAAGTTTGTGGTTCATTAATCCAGCTCTTTGAAATGCAAAGAACTGAAGTGATGTCATTTGGAATGTACATCACAGAAAATTAATGGGGTTCCTTGGTCAGAAGTGAGAAGGAAGACAATGTGACGAGGGAAAAAAGGGGCTGGCGAGGGGTGGGAAGCCTGGTTTCCAAAGGGAGAAACTGCCTAGCCATTCAGAGCCCCTCATGGTCCCCCCACATAGGCTTTGAGGGGACCCCTCTTTGTGGGGCAGCCTTGCCAGGAATAAGAAAACACAAAATGTTGCTTATTCAAGCGGTTCCCCAGAATTCCACAGCAGTAGCTGCTGTTAAAAGTTTTAGTCTGTCTGATTCAAATCAGCTGATCTGACTGGTTCCCCCGTCTCTAGTGCCCCAGGGCCACAGTTCCATCGGGGTCTCGCTGGCTGGGCTGGGCCAGGCTCAACTGATGCTGTGCTGACATTGGATGCTCCGAGAGTGGACCGGGCTTCAAGGCCTGAGGCCCTAGTGGCAGGAAGGAGACTGAATCACTGACAAGGAGGCGGGCTGGGAAAGTGGGCTGAGAGGTCTCTGGAAAGATCCAATGAAATAAATGAATGGGAAAGGAATAGATGTTTAAGGAGCTTGTACTCTGCCAAGCTGGGAGCTGGGTGCTGTCACAGTTCACTGGATCATCATAGCAACTGTCTGTGCTCTCAGCAGAAACAATGCCCTGTTGCAAAGTGGTTGTCCCACAATTTTTTTTTTTCTGGATAAAAGCAAAACCAAACCAAACCCCTAAAAACAAAACCAAAAAATCCAAACCTAAACCCCAAACCAAAAAAACAAACAAACAAACAAACAAAAAAACTGAAAAACCCAACACTGTTCTTTAGCTGGATAGTAATATTGTCCTTCCTTTTCAAATCAGGACACAGACCTACTTGAATAGCAAGAGAGTTCTGTTCGTACTTTGTAAACTGCAAAAATGCTCTTCAAATGTTAGCTTCCATTATGGTATCCGTGAATAAGCCCATTTCCTTAAAGCCCTCGCTTCTGGAAGTGGCTGGAGCATTGTAGCAATTCAATACCTGTTTGTTGATTAAATGACTCGTTGACCATTGGGCAGGAGGGTCTGATGGTACCTTAATGGGATTGCTATCTCACAGGAAGAGAGATGAGAATTTACACACATATATACAACCCACTGTGTATGGCGAGTTTCCAATATTGTGTAAGGAAGTTGAAGTTAGCTATTTATTAAAAGAGGCAACGTGAACATTTTCAGAATTATTTTCCCCTTGGAAATCTTAACTTTGGCTTAGACCCCTTGAAAACTCCATTAGGGCTCAAAATGTACCAGTATTTTTATTGGGTAACAATATAATCTGAAAGAGTGAAATATTTTGTGTTTGACAGAGCAGATGGCGGTTCTATTTCATATTAATAGTCGAATCTAATGTGGATAGTAGTTTTTGTTGCCTATATGTTTATTAACGTTTGAGTGCGATTTGAACTTGATCACATGTTTTATTGCTTCCTCCAACAGTAACTACTCTTTCACTTTAAATACATTTACGATATTACACATATATTTCGAGGCATAATAAAAGTAAATTTATATGAAAAAATTCCAAACAGCTTTATGCATTCTTATTTCTAGCCCTTACTTCCACTTAGAGTCTGAGAGTATTGGACGTAGCCACTAAAAGTTGGTCAATGAATTGCAGCTCTCAGGAAGAGTAAGCTTTAAAAGAGAATCCCACGTTGTGTTCATTCTCTCCTGGTGCCATCTTTCTCCAGGTGGAGAATACCTAGATTTTCTTAGTCTGTGTTGAGCTCCCATTTGCTGACTAGAGTTGGGATCCTCACTAGCTTTGATAGGGTTGAATTTACCTGTAGGTAAAAAGTCTCTGTATGTTTTTCACAGGTTAAAAACAAATGAACAAACAAACAAACAAACAAATGAACAAACAAACAAAACTTTATACGCTAAGTTTTGCTCAATACAAAATGTAGAGAGAACAGGTTTATGGACCTCCCCCTCCAATCCCAATTCACCAATTATTATCATTTTCCTCATCTTGTTTTACCTCTTTCTCCTATTTATTTATTTTGCATTATTTTTAAGACAAATCCCATATCATTTCACCTGTAAATAGTTCAGTATAAATCTCTGTTAAGGACTTTTTAAAAACCGCCTTGCAATTATCACACCCAAAGCAGTTAACTGTGGTTTCCTTAATATCATCTACTACGCTGCTCATGTTAAAATTTCTCTGATTGTTTTAAAGGTGTCCTTTGTGGTTGGTTTGTTTGAATCAGGATACAATTACTGAATGTTTCTCCTAAAGCATAGATACTTCCCTGGGGCTACCTCAGGTATCTTTAGAATTAAGATATTAAGGGAAACTTGCCCTCTAAGGCATTAGGGCTCCATTTGCTAGTCAGGGCTGAAGGGAGGGGGAGGTTGCAAGGGAGGACTAACGTGGCCTCTTGGGCTGGATTGGGTGGGAGAGGGCACCCAAATGGACAAGCTACAACTTTAAAGGGGCAGAGCACTCCCATTCCTAATTCTAGAAGTGGTCTATGCCAGGTCATTTTACCCTGTGGCCGCAAAGTCAGCAGTGGAATCCTTTGGAGCCTGGTGGGAGATATCAGTCATTCCAGGAGATTCAGCTTAAGAAGGTAGCAAAACACCAGGTCTTGTGAGTTGGGGAGGATGGTCCCTGAACCTCAGCCAATTAGTATTTGGAGGCAGTGGGATAGAAGGCAGAGAATAAAACAGAAGGAACTGAAACAGAGATGGTGGATTTATTACCCATGTTGGAGAGAAGCAAGAATGTGTACGACTGGTTCTATGACTCTTCTAGGACAGTAGGTATCAAGTGTGTTTGGAAAACAAGATTATTTGGCTCATGTTGGTAGGAGACCAATAGTAGGATCTGGTCATTAGATCCTAGTCCTGGAAACATAACTTCCTTTCAAGTCCCACTGGATGGGGGAAGTAGGAAAGAGGTAATCCATGCATCTCCTGCCCATGCTGAGATTGTCCTGGAAGGTTTTGGGGGAAGGGCTCTGACTGAGCCGCACAGGCAGAGGAGAGCACTCAGGTGGGGTTGACATAAGGTGTTATTTAGTACAGAAGCAAGCATCCCAAACGATGTGTTCCTGATCTGAAAGAATTAGGTCTTGTCTCCTCAGATTCATTGACATTCTTTGTCCATATTACTGATGGTATAAATAATATCACTAGGTGTAGAAAT